ACTGAATACCTGGACAGAAGACTGCTATCCAAGGGCATTGTGATCTTGCATGACAATGCATGGCTCCACCACTGTTGACACTCTGCAAAAATTTCATTTTGAGGTGTTAAAGCATCCTCCCTATAGTCCTGATCTTGTTCCATCGGACGTTTGCTTGTTTGGTGCCCTAAAAGCAGCCCTTCAAAAATGAAGATTCATCTCTGATGAAGTGAAAACAGCAGTGCAATCGTGGCTCACAGCTCAGCCTAAAACATTTTAAAATAAGGGAATATGAAAGCTTGTTGACAGATGGACAGAGTGTATGGGAAAGCAAGGATTATGTTGGAAAACGATGTATTTGTCTTTTTAAAAAGTAGATTAAAATAAGTTCTACAGCCAGAGTGGGGATAACATTTGTGACTCATCCTCATATATTGAACTATGTGTAGCACTCTAGGACAATGCTACAGAATATTTAAAATTGGTGATCATTTTGCTATTCACCACAAATCAAAATCATTTCATTTCCTGGGCTCCAGGAAAAACCTAACCAACCCTTTTCTCTCAAATTCTTTTTTTTTTTTTTTTTACCCACCATCCATGACCATTAACTTGTTATTCCACTGAAGAGGCTCTGCCAACTGTCACCAACACCCTTGTAATAACCCCAAATGATTCCATTAATCCTCATCTTAAACAACACGTTTTGTTTTTTTTTCTTCAAAAGTTCAAGCTTTGTCAGATATCACCCTTAGCTTGTTTTTTTCAGCCGTCTTTGCAGTCTCCTCCGATCTGCTCTTTGTGATGTTCCTTACACGTGTTTAGTTCATTTCTCTTCACTTAATAAGACAGTTCCTGGATGATCTTTTCTCTTATGGCTTTAAAGACCACCTCACTGGACAGCCCGATTTATATTTCCAGTTCAGGCCATTCCTAATTTCAGACCAACATATCCAATTGCTACTTCCTAAAGAAATTACTTGGACTTATGGTACGGCAGTATAAGATCAGCACTGGGCAGCGAACCACAAAATTGGCAGTTCAAATTCATCAACTGCTCCTCAGAAACCCTATATGGGGCCGCTAAGTCAGAACTGACTCGACTGCATATAAAAACATATTACTTAGATGCTCTGTAGGTAGTTCATACTATTTTGCACCCAGACTCTTATGTATTTCCTATTCTTGTTAGAAATACCCCCATTTTCACCTGGGAAGTCTCTCTTAGAGCCTGTGGACTTTTGTCTCCCAAATCTGTACCCTTATGCATATTCCTTGAATTTCTGTATAGAAATATCCCTCTGGCAAGCAGGCAGGAATACTGCAAACAATGTCCTGGAGTTCTGGTGTGGTTCGAACTCACCAGCTGCTCCTTGGAAACCCTATACAGGGTCGCTATGAGTCAGAACCAACTCAACAGCACCTAACAATAATTACTTAAAACTAGTCGAAGGATCCACATTAACTACAGGGTTAAGAACACACTCCAAACCTCTTTAATAGTCTACACCCCTCCAATCTGAGTCCTGACAAACTGCTTGAAATTTTCAAATATTGATTCTGAAGGTGTGATAAAACTCCTGTTGGAGATGCAGTACTAATTCTTTTACTTCCTCTAGGTGTTGCCTGGTATATTTATATGAATCTTTCATATTTGATGTGTTTATGGTGAATAGAGGTACTCGTTTATCTATGCCAAGAAATTTGGAATACAACTACCTGGCCAAATAACTGGAAGAGATCCATATTTGTGCCCATTCCAAAGAGAGGTGACCCAACGGAGTGCGGAAATCGGACAGCATCATTGATAATCACATACAGTAAATTTTACTAAATATACTACAAAAACAGCTGCAACATTGCCAGACAACTTCCAGAGGTTCAACCTGGATTCAGAAGAGAACATGAAACAAGGGTTATCATTGCTGACGTCAGATGCATCTTGGCTGAAAGCAGAGAATACCAGGAAAGATGTTTACCTATGCTTTATTGACTATGCAAAAGCCTTCGATAGTATGGATCATGACAAGTTATGAACATTACAAAGAGAGTATTCCAGAACGCTTAATTGTGCTTAAGAAGAACCTGTACATAGACCAAGAGGCAGTTGTGTGAACAAGGGCACACCGATTGGTTTAAAATTAGGAAAGGTGCGCGCCAGCGTTTTAGTCTTTCACCATACTTATTCAATCTGTATGCTGAGCAAATAATCTGAGAAGCTGGATATGAAGAACATGGCATCAGGATTGGAGGGAGACTCAGTAACAACCTGCGATATGCAGATGTTTCAACCTTGCTTGCTGAAAGTGAAGAGGACTTAAAACATTTACTGATGAAGATCAAAGAGCACAGCCTTCGGTATGGATTGCATCTCAATGTAAAGAAAACAAAAATCCTCACCACTGGACCAATAAACAACATTCATATAAATGGAGAAAAGATTGAAGTCGTCAAAAACTTCATTTTGCTCAGATCAACTATCAACACTCATGGTAAGCAGCAGTCAAGAAATCAAACGATGTGTTGCATTAGGCAAATCTGCTGCACAAGACCTCTTTAAAGTATTGAAGAGCAAAGATATCAGTTTGAGGACTAAGGTGTGCCTGAGCCAAGACATTGTATTTTCAGTAACCTCATATTCATGTGAAAGTTGGACAGTGAATAAGGAAGCCCATAGAATTGACGCATTTGAGTTATGTTGTTGGAGAATATTTAAAGTGTCATGGACTGCCAAGAGAACAAACAAATCTGTGTTTGAAGAAGTACATCCAGAATGCTCCCTGGAAGCCAGGATGGCCAGACTTCGTCTCTCATACTTTGGGATATTGTCAGGAGGGGCCAGTGGCTGGAAAAGGATTATCATATTTGGTAAAGTGGAGGGTTGGAGAAAAAAAGACCCTTAGCGAGATGGATTGACACAGCGGCAGTAGTGATGGATTCAAATGTAGCAATGATTGTGAGATTGGTGCAGGACTGGGTAGTGCTTTGTTCTGTTGTGCATCGTGTCGCTGTAAGTTGGTAGACTCGATGGCAAATACCAACATCTATACAAGTAATAAAAATATTCTATTGCTTTTAAATTTAAGAAATGTAAACTATAAAGGATATTAAGTTGATGAAAAGTTTATATAGAACTCACTCATCTATACTTTAATGTTGATTTTTGATTTTTATCTCCTAGCCTTTACCCAAGGGGCTATGGTGACACAGAGGGCTACTAACCAAATAGTAGTCAGTGGTTCAAACCCACCAGCTGTTCTGCAGGAGAAAGATGAGGCAGCCTGCTTCCATAAAGACTGACAGCCTCGGACACCTCATGGTTCTTTCTGTTCTACAGGGTTGCTATGACTCAACAGCAGTGGGTTGGTATCTTGTAGCCATTCAAAAACTGCAAACTTCAGTACCAGTGCTATTTTTGATATATGGTGCTGTAGGAGAAACACTGGACTAACTGCAAGGTCAGCAGTTCAAACCCTCTAGTCACTCCTTGGAACCCTATATAGGGTTACCAGTCGAAACCAACTTGACCACACTTGAAACCCTATACAAAATCGCTCTAGGTTGGAACTGACTCGATGGCACTTAACATCAGTAATATGGAGTCCTGTGTGTTGCTACAGAATCAGCACTCGACTGCTAACTACAAGCCTACCAGCTGCTCCTTGGAAACCCTATACAGGGGTCACTGCGAGTTGTAATTGACTCAACACCACTTAACAACATCAATTAACATACTTACTATATAGAAGTCCCTGGTGTGTGGCTGTAGGATAATCAACTGGACTGCTAACCACAAAACTGATGGACGTTCCTTGGAAACCCTGTGCAAGGGTTTGCTATGAGTCAGAACATGGAGCCCCTGGTAGTGTAGTGGATTACGAGCTGCGCTGCTAACTGCAAGGTCAGCAGTTCAAATCTACCAGTCACTCAAAGGGAGAAAGATGAGGCTTTCTGCTTCTGTAAAGATTTATAGCCTCAGAAACCCTGTACAGAGTCGCTACGAGTTGGAACTAACTCAACGGCACACCACCACCACCACAGAACTGACTTCACGGCACTTAACAACAATCAGTAATATAAGCATTCAGCTAGCTTTAGCATTTTATAATCTTCACTTTTTGATGGTTGGTTTATAACTTTTTATTTTGTCTGTCTTCTATTCTCAATAACCTCTGTATAGGAGATTTTACAAGAAAAACACTTAAAAATATTAGTGGTTGAAGTTCTGGGGTGGGGGGAGGGGGAGGAGGTGTAGTTAGAGGAGTATTCTTGGTCCTTACCCAAAATAAATTTATATTTTCCTCCTAATATTGTATATAAGAGATGAAATGTTGCTAGTAGATATTTAATATTTACCAAATGAACTAAGTGAACATAGTATCTTCATGCTTTCAGCCTTCGAATTGTTTCTTTCTAGGAAGATAACATACTCCCAAGCTGTTTGACAAAGTGTACTTGATGAATAAAATCAATCAGCACAGCATTTCACCAGATAAAATTTTAAATTCTCTTTAGTCATATACAAGGGATGGTTCAAAAAGTGTGTAGAAAAATGGAATTAAATGACAATGTAATTTTCCCACAAACTTTTTGCAGTATCCTCACTGCATTCATAGTTCTCTTTATGCTTCATCACTAGAGGTTCTTAGAAAATTCTTAGAAGAGGTGATAACATGAGAATAAATACCAAAGTCTTCAGAAAACAGATGCAAATGAAAGGTATCATTATGAAATACTGTTAATTAGAAAATGATTTAATGCTAATAAAGCTTGATAAATTTTACTCGTGGTGGAATTTGCACACCCTCCCCACCATCATGTCACAGAAGTAGGACAGTATGAAATTTCATAATTGCCTAACTTAAAAAAAAGTCTCATTTATTTGAATTCTAAGATAGAGCCCTCGGTCCTGAATTTATTTTCCATATGAAACTCTTAGTAGACAGGTACAAGATTTGTCAGTCCATAGAATACTCCCTTAAGATCGTAAGTCCAATCACTATTTGTTTTCTATTACTATATTTTGGCAGCAATTGTTTATTGGTCTGTCATTGCAGTAATTGCAACTTAACAATAAACCAGTCTGACATTTTAGTACTTGAAGATACATACCATATATATTTCTTTAAAAATAATCATACTTTTGTAATCAATACTTTACAGTAGACACCTCAAAAATCTACCATAGATGTGAAACTTAAAACGAGAAAAATTTAAGTTCTAAATCTTTATACATATATATCCAGATTTCTATATATATTATATATACATACATAAGTATATATAAAATATATATAATCAGATTTGAAAAATGAACAAAAACTGGGCACTGTACATAAAGTCTTTTTAAAACTCAAACAATAGAAAACTCTTTAAACATTAAACAATTTTAATAAAAGTTTCTGTACAATGCTAAGCAGTTTTATTTACACATAGAAAATGTAATAGGAGTACTGTTTGAAATTACAGAACTCCTTAAAATTTCAATGGCAGGTAAATCTGGAAAAAATAACAGCATTCCATTCACAAATATTTTCAAGCAATAAATATGTATTTATAAATAGTGTAAATTTACATCAAGATTAGAAACAAAAAATCACAAATCTGAAGTTTATTCCTTAGTCTATGTGCAACCCATTATCTTTGTGACTTGGCTGTTAATTTTTTTTTTTTTTTTTAATATTTTATTTAGGAACCAAAAGTGTAACCATAATGGTTTCAAAACTAGACAGAAAAACATAAAAGCAGTAAAAAAGTTTCTTAGACCTATCTTTTCACATTAAAAAAAAAAAAGTTGACCAAAGAAAGACTTAAAATTGCTAACTACCTTACAAAGAAATGACCAGCTAGGCTAGTATTTTTTTTTCCAAGGAAAATTCTTAAGGAGGAAAAGATAGATGAAAACCAATTCATCAGCCCAGAAATAGAGAAATATAAAAGAGGTTGTCTTCAAGTCAGTAGTCTGTATGATGTTGCCAGTTTTGTCAGATATATACAAAACATGGAAATTATTATTTGTTTTCTTCTGAAGTATAGCTGGACCAGCTTTATGAGAGTCCTGGAGTCAGAGCAGTGCTCTCCCCTGTCCAGTTGCTTGACACTCCACACTTGGAAGGTTGCATAGACACAGTTTTCAGCCAGCAGCCTTACGAGATAGCTACAAGAACCAGTGGTGCAGAACTGGGTTACTTCCTGAATAGCAGAAATGGTCTCATATTTAATGTCCATGGAACAATATCAAGATGAGGCGGATGGTAATGGAGGAGCCTGAAAATAAGTAAGGTTATGTTAATTAATTTAGAACACAAACTGTTAAGTATTTCCTAGACTATGGTTACAGAGTAATGTAGTCTGTTTATGAAGTTGGCAACAACCACTCTTGAAAAAGTTTAATAGCTTGACCCACAATGTAAAAGTATAACCTTCCGTGTATCTCTCACCTGACAAAATTTCCCAAGACTCTGAGACCAATACTCAACTCAGTGTATCTACTATTCTGTACTTATTCAACAATCAGTCAAAAAAATTATTTCTTTCCATTACTTAAAGATAAAGTCTTGTAGATTAACATATAAATTACAATTTCATTTGTGACTGACTTCAGAACTTATCTCATCTAGATTACATACTTTGTTCTGATCATTTGTGTAAGAGGATCATATTGGAGAAAATCAGTAATTCATAAATTATGTGTGCTTCTATTCATAAAGCTATCAATCTGTTAAGAGTAAAATGTTTGGTTTTAAATACCTATTACATGAAATTAAAAGCTATGTACAATTTATAAGTATAATGAATTTTACCAGGTTACATAACATACCAAGAAGTTAAGCTCCAAATATTACCATGAGGTGAATGCTTTGGCAAAGACAAAATTTTAATTATCTCGAAGTTTATTTAAAAAGCACACATGTAGGTATAATTTTTATTATTTCTTGATCATCCCTATAAACCAAAGTCCATTATCACTGAGTCAATTTTGATGCAAAACGACTCTATAGGACAGAGTAGAACTGCTCCAAAGGGTTTCCAAAGCTATTATCTTTAAGGAAGCAGATGGCCACAAATTCTCACACAGAGCAGTTGGTGGGTTTGAACTGCCAACCTTTTGGTTAACAGCTGAGCAATTTAATCACTAGAGTTCTTTGACACATCCCTTTAGTGGGCATTAATATATGCTATGTACACAACCATTTTATCAACTAAAAGCAAATAAAAAAGGACTTGATTTATAAATTGCCATTGAATTGGTTCTGACTCAGTGACCCTGTGTAGGGTTTCCAAGGAGCAGCCTGTTAGCTTTGAACTTCCAACCTTGTGGTTAGCAATCCAATGCTTATCCTACAGCATCACTAGAACTTCTAAGGGATATGACAGTGTTAGTATAAAAAGATTTTAACTGTGAATAAACCCCAACACACCCACTGCCATCCAGTCGAGTTGGACTTACAGTGGACCTAGAGGACAGAGTAAACTCTATAGGGCTTCTAAGGCGGAAAATCTGAACGGAAACAGATTGCCTCATCTGTCTCCAGCAGAGTGCCTGGTGGGTGTGAATCACTGATCTCGTGGCTGGCCGCCTAACACTTAGCCCACTGTACCACCAGGGTTCTAAACTGTGAGTACTGTGATATTTAGGTTGATCTCACTGAGATAAATGGGAATGATATATGCCAACTGCATATGAACAAACTTCTTGCAAGTAGGGGGTGAGGAGAAGAATGACACGATGACATACCTATTCTCAGGTACTGTCTGGCACTGTAGCATAAACACTGCTAACCAAAAGGTTGGCAGTTGAAACCTACCAGTTGCTTCTTGGAAACCCTATACAGGGTTGCTTGCTATGAGTCAAGCACTAACGTGATGGCACTTAACAATGACAACAATCTAATGAACCCAAAGAAAATTAAAATATTTTATTACCTCCTACTCTGGTAGTGTAGTGGTTACAAATTGGGCTGCGAACCGCAGAAGTTCGAACCTACCAGCTGTTCCGTGGGAGAAAGATGAGGCTTACTGCTCCCGTAAAGATATACAGCCTTGGAAACCCTGTACAGGGTTGCTATGAGTCGGTTCCGACTCCACGGCACATAACTACCACCACCACTTATCAAGTGGCAGAGCAAACATTGCTGCTTTACAACTCAGCTACCTATGTACTCACATGTCTATTTTACTTACTAATGTAAATTGGTCATAGACTTGCATCAGGTCCTCCATTTTGTACTGTTCTAGCACCACAAAATTTTCCAGATTTCCGCTTGTTTTTCGCGCACAATCTTGGCAATGTACTATGTAAGTCTTTCGAGAATTGCTCTCATTAGTGACAAAAAGCAGATCAAAAACCTCCACCTATTTTATACAAGAGAAAAAATATTCAAGAGAGAGAATGGCATTTATCGTATGGCTTTAGTATAATTATGGAATTCTACTGTACATCAAATTGTGGTGAAGATTAGGTACTAAGCCTTTGCTGCAAATGTATCGATGAATGTAGTGGAGCATACAGGAGGCAAAGCCATGAAAACTTCGTAGAGGGAATAAGCAAACATCTTGAGGGAATGAATCACTGGGCCTGGGACCATAGTCTCAAGGGGACACTAAAGTCAATTGGTGTAATAGTCCATAAAGACATGCTACTCTGGTGAATAAGAGACTGGGGTCTTAAAGTTCTTGAGTGGCTATCTAAGATGCAACTATTTGCCTCTCCTGGTGTGGCGCTGTGGGTTAATGCACCAGACTGCAAAGCCGTTTGAACTGCAAGGTTGGCGGTTCAAGCTCACCAGCTGCTCCTTGGAAACCCTATACAGGGTCGCTATGGGTCGGAACCGACTCAACGGCATTTCACAACAGTAACAATCAGGAGTTAAGAGTGATGAAATAAAAAACACATGGAAACAATTGCTCCAATGGACTAAAAGACCATGTGAACTTCAGTTTCCAGGACCCTAAGACCAGAACTAGATGGTGCTTGGCTACCAACTACTCTGAAAGGGATCACATTAGATGGTTCTGGATAGAGTGTGAGAAAAATGTGGAACAAATTCAAAATAATAAAAAAGACCAGGCTTAATGTTCACAGAGAGACTAGTGGAGCCCTGAGACTATGGCCCTTTGTCATCCTTCAGGTTTAGAATTGAACTCACCTCCAAACAACAGATAGGTCTATAAGGGGTACAGTAACACCAGTAAGGTACCACTCCTCAGAATAATCAACCATTTGAGATTTTTTTTTCTCCCCAAAAAAGGCAGCATTTACCCAAGAACGAACTTCAGAAAGGTTAAGATAGGAGGAAAAATGGAAACAGGAAACACAATGGAGGAAGTGGGTTACAGTGAAGGGATTGCAATCAATGAGATAAAACAAAACATGTATGAATTGCTGAACGCAAAACTGATTATCTGCTCTGTAAACCTTCACCCAATTCACAATTAAACAACAAAATAAAGTAGGTATTCATGGTTTCCCATCAACTGTCAGGTACATGATCGTGAGTGAGTTTTCATTTATAAGTCTCTTGTATTATAGATTATAGACACAAACAAAAAAGTATATTCATGAGCTTCACATAATTCTAGAAACAAGAATTCTATCTTATACAGAAAGATTGATAAGTTGCTAATGTTAAGGAAGAATAAGCAATATCATTGTTGGATAGGAGTTCACTCTCAAATACTGGAAAACTTATATCCTTGGACAAGTTATATAACATTAAAATAGTCAATGGATTCAGTTGTTTCAAATAAAAAAAACCTCAAATTACAGAATTTCAAGGGCTGGAATAGATAAGGCACTTAACAATGACAACAATCTAATGAACCCAAAGAAAATGAAAATATTTTATTACCTCCTACTTATCAAATAGCAGAGCAAACACTTGGTCTTTGGTGTATGCTTGAATTTCTCCAATGACAGAAAACTCCATGTCATCTTTGAACAGTTATGCTATTTAAAATGTCAGAGTTCACCATGTTTTCCAGTATTGTCAATAAGCAGCAACATGAGTCTAGTGATCTGAGCTGGAAAAGTTAAAAGCACTCTTCCACTTGACCCTCACTCACTTCTACCATTTAATCTGTTTTATTGATTTTACCTTTGAAGCATTTTCTAATTCTCTGCTTTTAAAATACTTCCATTGCTAGGCTCTACTCCAGGCCTTAAGATAACTCTTACTAAATTCACTGCAATAGCTTCCTATCTCCATCCACTCCAACTACCTTTCTCTGTAAACACGTATCTGACTTAGTCCCATGCTCAAAAATTTTTGATAGCTTCAATGACCTCGGAATATATATCAAAAGCCTTTAAAAGCATTCAAGATGCTTTGTGTCAACTACCTACCACCTAGACTTACAAGTAGAATTTGTTTAGTCTGTATTCTAGCGACATTGGACTACTGACTATTTTGTATCCCTGTTCTCATGCTGCTTTTATGATTCATGGCATCCTGCCTCCATTTCTCCACATTTTCTAACCTTTTCAAGGAATTTTCATCCTTAAGGATGGACTCACATATTAATACTTAATAAACTCTCATATATTCATTGCAATTACTTGTTTACAACTTTTCTCTGAAAAGAATCTAACTTCCTTCAGAGCGGGTACCACATTATCATTATTTCTGGAACTTCCTGAAAGCCTTGGCCACAAGAGAACAATTTCAAGTGTACTGCAAATTGAACCAGAAAGAACTTAATGTCAGTCTATGTTGGAGCTATATCAGATAACATCTAGCTCACTGAAATCTGTGTATGTCTGGACTGTCCCTAGTTTAAAATCTCAGACTAAACTTGATAATTATTATCTGTTAAAGATCTACTAAATGAATAGCTCTGCAGAAGATATTTTTAAGGTTAATTCATAACTATATCAACTAGTGAAATACCATCAGATTAAATTTTAACAGCTAAAAATAATACCACAGTTGAAGACAATGTCAATTTCAGTAAAATGCTTTAGTTTCTCATTAGTTTTATTATTATTTAATTACCTAAAGTTAAAAAAAAATAACTAAAGCAAAATTAAAACTGGAGAGACTAGAGGCTTTCATAAATCAACTGTGAATAAGAATAATTACTTACCTCACAAATACTACAGTAATGAGCTGGTTCTTCTTTTGTCCGCCCATGCCATATAATCTCTTTTCCTGCAGCAATGAGAGCTTCTCTCAATGTCTGACATTGCTTCAGAGTTCTCAGAAGACAATACCTATTGTGGGGAAAAAATTATTTGTAACCAGCAACTGAATATTGAGTATTTTTAGCATATGAGATATACCAATTAAAAAATAATACAAAGAGTCTCAGTTCTAATGTCTGCTGCTTAATTTTTCTTTTGTCAGTTTCTCAGATTTAAAAAAATAAGGCAATGCTCAGCAAGTCTAAAGATGATACTATTAAATCATTTAAGCTTGAGAATAACTATGTCTAAATATCAAGACATAATAATCTTAACATAAAAAAACTGACCCCTTGCTTAAATACAAGTTTCTAATTTTGGCTATTGGGCAAGTCTTTGAGAATCAATTTCCTCATCCTTGAAATAAAGGCGTCTGAATTACCGTTTTTAACTCTTATGATTCTATCTAGCAAGGAAGGCACTAATATTATTTCTGTCAATGCTAGCTCGACATTCACAAATAGCATCAACTATTTAGTTGTTTTTGAATCCCTAAGCAGAAAATCATTTATGGAACTAGTCTGTTACATTAAAAAAAAAAGGTTGCTGTAGTGCTTATTCCAACTCATGGCATCCTCGTGTGTATCAGAATAGAACTGTGCTCCATAGGGTTTTCAGTGGCTGATTTTCCAGAATAGCTAGGTCTTTCTTCCAAGGGACCTCTGGGTAGACTAGAACCTCTTAACTTTTTCGTAAGCAGCCGTGTACATTAACTGTTTGCAACACTCAGAGACTGTTACTATTACTAACCTTTCTGAAGTTTGTCCTTCGGTAAATGTTGCCTTTTAAAAAATCTCAAACGGTTGGTTATTCTAAGATATGTATATTTCACTAGAGTTATTGTTCCCCTTATAGTGCTTAAGAAAAAAATTTTTTCCTCAATTTTAACTTGATAATATTAAATTCTGTTTATATTAACACACTTGAACTTTTCTTATATCTGTATGTTGTCTATACTCACACTTATGATGCTAAGAACAGTGATTCTCATTTTCCTATAGTCCGCTCAATACTCAGAATTGCCTGCTAAATTCCCTTACTCTCCTGTGAATCTTAGTGGCTCAGCTTCTCCATTTGAACAGAGGTTGAACTAGAAAAACTAAGGCATTTCTTTTAAGCTCTAAAATTTGAAGACTCTGAAAATATCCTAAAGGAAAGGAAATGGGTTTAGCAACTGACTGTTATTTGAAAACAAAGGTCTAATCTGTTTCATTCATGTTGTCATTCTACTGCCTAGAACAGTGCCTGGCATATATAGTAGGTGTTCAATAAACATTTGATTACTAAACTAAAATTCAAAGTATGACAAGTAGTATAGTACATTTTTTCATAATTTTTATTTTCTTGCTCTCTGTATGTTACTAATATAAAACATTGTTATTTATAAGAAACTTGTACATTAAGCTGGATTGGGGGAGCGAGGTTAAGAGGGAGTAACTAAAAATGCATGCAAAACTTGTTAACTCAACATAAAACAATACCAATTTTAAGGGAAATTTAAAAAATATATTCAAAGGATTTCACTCTGTTTAGTTTTAGCAATTGTTGCATGTGCAACTTATTTAGAAACAAAAAATAATACTTATTTAGACTGTGGCTAGATATCAAAGCTAGCATGTTGTTGTTATGTGCTGTGGAGTCGGTTCCGACTCATAGCAACCTTGTACAGGGTTTCCGAGGCTGTAAATCTTTACGGGAGCAAAAAGCCTCATCTTTCTCCGGGGGGAACAGCTGGTAGTTTCGACAGCTGCCAGTTTCGAACTGTTGACTGTTGAGATTAGCAGCCCAATTCGTAAGCACTACGCTACCAGAGCTCCTTAGCTACTGTAATTATGTATGAAGGCAAGTCAAAAAGTATTGCGACTAGGGTTCCGATTCATTCAAGGATAGGCTTAGTCCAAACAAAATGTGTTTAAATATGTCTCTGCAATCAGTGGAAGGCTACAGACAAGTTCTCATAGCAATACACTGGTCTTGGTCTCGTTATATACTCACTCACTGCCATCAAGTCAATTTTGACTCAGCGATCCTACATAGGGTTTCTGAGACTGTAAATCTTTAAGGGAGTAGAAAGCCTCATCTTTTCCCTGTGGAGTGGCTTGGGGGTTTGAACTGCCAATCATCTGGTTACCAGTCCAGTGCTTATCCAACAGTGCCACCAGGGCTACACTGAAGCAGTTATTGCTGTTGGTACGTGCCTTTGAGTAGGTTCCGACTCATAGCGACCCTGTATAGGGTTGCCAAGGAGCAGCTGGTGAGCTTGAACCACTGACCTTGTGGTTCAAACCACCCTTTCAGTCCAGTGCTTTATTCCACAGTGCCACAGGAGATTAGAAAATGAATTTATTACACTAGCAAGTCAAGTCTATGTTAAGCAACGGATAGGCCTTGCTATAAGAAATCACCTTTGTGATCATGGCATCTCTACCAGGTAAGAAGGGTGTCTTAAACAAAGTATTGGGTGAAGATCTGCTATCTCGAAACGCTGACCTTAGCATTAGTCTTTTAAGCAAAATTGAAGCTAATGAAGATGTTATGGGACAAATAATAAATGGGGATGAGTCTTAGATTTACCAATACAATCCAGAGAAGAAGTACCAATCAAAACAGTGGCTTCATAGGAGATCTGCTAATAAATTCTGGGCAGAGAGATCAGTTTCAGAAGGCTATAGTGACTATTTTTTACAGTGATCTTCAGAATCTTAAAAAGGGTAACTTGAGAGATTTTTCTCAAAAGACACAGGCCAATCACAGGGCTTATTCGAAGTTTTAAGAAAATTGGAAAGTGCATTAGAGAGAAAAAGGCTAGGAAAGTTGTGCTGAGGAAATTGTTTTCATCACAACAATGCACCAGCTCATTCCTTGGGAAGCCTTAATACAAATCCACCTATATTATATCCCTGGTCTTGTCCCTTCCAACATCGTTTGACTCCCCAAACTCAAAAGAACATTTCCAAAAGAACGTGCTCTGAGTCCCTCGAGGAAGCCCAAACTGCTGTTTTGATGTGGTGTCAGCTCAATGGAATCTAGCAAGGAAAATGACTAAGACAAAACTTAAAAGAATAAAATAACAAAGGTTGGTGAGGAGATGGGGAAATTGAAACCGTTATCCATTACAAGTAGGAATGCAAAATGGTATAGTAGCTCTTGTGGACAACAGTGTAGCGGTTCCTTTAAAGAAACAAAACAAAAAAACTAAAAATAGAACTACCACTGCTGTTGCTGTTAAGTGCTGTCAAGTTGGTTCCCACTCACTGAGACCTTGTATAGGGTTTTCAAGGAGAAGCTGGTGGGTTTGAACCACTGACCTTGTGGTAAGAAGTCCAGTGCTTACCCTACAGTGCCACATAAGAATTCCAAAACTACCACATAGCTCATCAATTTCACTCTTAGGTATAACATCCCAAAGCAGACTCAAACTTGTATACCAATGTTCAATGCAGCATTATTTACAATAGCTAAAATGTGGAAAAAATTAAATGTTCATTAAGGGATTAATTGATAAACAAAATGTGGTACCATACATACAATGGAATACTACATGCAGCCAGTAGGAAAAACAAAGTCTTGATACATGCTACAATACAAATGGTGCCTGAACATATTATGTTGAGTAAAATAAGTCAAATCACAAAAGGTCAAGTATTAGATGACCACACTTGTATAAAATGACAATAATAGGTAAAAATACAGACCAAAATTTATTACTGGTTTCCAGGGGTAGGAGAAAAGAGTGAAAGGAGGATATTAAAGGTAGAGTTACACAGCTGATAAATGTAATTTCTGTAAGTAAGCTGTACACTTGTCAAAAGTTGAATTGGCAAAAGTTGTCTGATAGATATGTTTACAACAATGACAAAAAAACCTCAAAGAGTAGCTGTTGACATTCCTTATTTACACCTCATGGGATGTGGTGCCTTGGTTTGGAGATTTAGTGACATAGTTTCATGGGACATCCCAGTTAATTGGCCTAATGAAATATGGGTTAACTCAGTAAGTCACTTTTATTTAATATCTTCATGGTAACAATCTCAGCCACTAAAAAGTTGATGGCATGTACGTTAAAGAATACTAAGAGGTACACAGCCCACTCTATCTTACTGGAAAAATCATGCTGGAAAAGTGAACTTGACATGTAAGTTTTGTATCTTTTCTTGTCATTGATAACTCCAAGGACAATAGATAGCAAGTCTCTGATTATCAGTAAGACATATACCAGTTTCTTTTAAACCAGTCACATGGCTGAAAATCAAGGTCTCAGTCAATAATAAAATGAGTATCTTAAGAACTTCCATCTCTTGGATTAAAAATAAAAAGCATAAAACAAATATATGGTAACCAGAAGAATGCAGAATTTTATAAAGACCCCCAGATCAGCACTGGGATCTATGCTAACTATGAACTGGTCTTCATGGCTATGCCATTATCTATGGATAGTGATGAAAGATATTTTAATTAGGCCAACTGGCCATGATCACAGTTGTAGAATATCTCATTTATTCATTTTAAAATGGTAATCAAAAGGGAAAAGGGAGTTAATACTTATAATTCACACAGAAAATTATATTGTGATAAGGTGCATATTAGGTTGATAAGGTCATATCTACATTTAAGTACGAAAGAAAATGGAAAAACTTAAATTCTTAGTTCTAAAAAAGGGCTAATTTAGTCCAGGGTATCCCTCGTTAACCCAAGTAGGGAATCACCTAAGCAGCTGTAATTCCCAGGACTCTTACTTAATATAGAATTTACTTGATAAGCATAGAGCCTGGAACCCAATCTTAGTAAGATGATCAGACAAGCAAGCAGTAAAACCCTCATCATAAATGAGGAAACTGAAAACAGTATCTAAAAAAAATCTATAGGAATATTTTAAAAAAGATATTAGTACAATACCAACTTTCACAGATCACCATGTTTTATGATTAGAGCCTTAAGAGGCTACAGTGAGACAGCTAACTAACTGTAGTGTGGTTAGGAACACACATTCTAGAGTCATAATTGTTATTAGTTGTTGTCAAGTTAGCCTG